CGGGCCGCGCCCGGTGAAATCCCCCGGATCGTGGTGGTGCCGGGGGTTACGGGACCGGCCCCACGGCTGCAAACGGCTCACACCTGTGCGAAACCCCGGGACTGGCCCAGGGACTCCGCCGAAGGGACCTGTGCTTCAGCACGGCAGCTGATAATTATTTGCAGTTATTTATGTAGTCTTAAAAAATAAAAAAAGTAGTACTAAGACATGTAATAAACATACTGTGGCCTAAAGCCATCTATGAAGTGACACGAGTTTAGAAAAGCACGCTACTGCCTGTACCTTTGCAAGAGCTAAGTCTGTTGATCCGGGAGAGCCAGCACTGCTTGCCATTTACATCTGGATTCACACGGAAAAGGCTGCTGGAAAACAACACCCCCGAAATGGCTACGGAACTGAGACCTCCAATACTAATGTAGTTTACAGGTTTGGTTGTTTGGTTTTTTTTTTTTGCAACTAAGCTGCAGGTCCCTGAGGATCATCTGCGCTGACGGCAGAAATGCTGACTAAGCCCTAACAACAGGTACCTGAGCGGTGTCCTTACACTGCTAGGTGCTGAGCACCCTGTGAGGAGAGAAGTATGTTGCAAGTTTGAAATGTAGGCACAATGCCATGCCAAGAACATTTTATCCTGTTATCATACCTAATTAAACATTAAAAGCAACTGTGTACTCAAAAATGTCCCCAGCTGTGGAGGGCAATTGATTGGCAATCTGTTTGTTTGCATGTGAAACGGTGGCAAGTGGAAAAAAAAAAAATAATTTCTAACAGACCATGTAAATGTGCAGAACAAGACCTGTAAAGCAAATCTATTAGACATGGGAGAGGTAGTCCACTGTCAATGCAAACATACGTGTGCAAATACAACCAATCTTGAGAGTCAAGTGCTCTTTTCTAATACACGTTCACATCTCCCATTACACTTTTAGCCGATCTACCACACAAGCTGTTACCATGTGCTTCTGCAGATTACTACTTGTGGGACAAGTTACATCTCACCTCGAGGCAGCAGGTGCGTGATGGCCGGAGGCGCCTCTTGCGGTCGTGTGTCCTGGTGCACACCATCGCTGCGCCTCGAACGCAGCGCGGGCCCTCGCCATCAGCAGCAAAAACTTCCCAGCAAACGTGCACAGCACTGGATCAAAGCAGCAATTCAGGTCCCCGTGCCATTCAAGCCTTGGACTTTCTGGTGAAGCTGTCAACAAAGACACAAACTGTGCTGTTAGCCACATAGCATGGACACGTACCCCCCAAGGACAAGGAGAGGTTCCTTCCACGGAGCACATGGAAATCACCTTAACTTGAGCCCTCATCCACCCCTCCTGGGACTCCTGCACAACGTTCATTTGGGGCAGTGGGTGTCTCACAGGCTGCTGCCTTCAAGCTCCTTCCTCAATCATTCCTGGGCCCGTACTAGGATGTTCTATCCTGTTACGGACTTTGAACTACTTACTGCCAATTTTTGTAGGGCTGTCTTCCTGAGAAGGTAGGAGAGGCTCACGGACAACCTGGGAACCTCAGAGCACATGTAGAGAAAAATTAATTTATTTTAAATTTTGGGGTTTTTATTTTAAACTTTACAACATTAGCTAACTTTACTATTAATCTAACAGAATGGGGACATAGTGTGATCCCCTGCCTGTGTGCTCATGCAAGGAAGCATTTTGAACAGTTGTCTTTACAGTAGGAACTGCAGAGCTGATGCGGTGTGAAGTCAGAAGCATAAGCTACCTCAGGAGCTTGTTGCCCTTCTGTAGCTCTGTCCTGAGCTACCAATCTGCCCTTGTTCTACCTTTTGAGGCAGCATAGTTCTATACTGCTGCTGCTGCCAGCAGGTAGCAAGTTTCTATGGTAAGCCTCTTGGTAAGTCACTGAAGCACGTGCTTTGCTGAGTATGAACTCATGGGAAAAACATACTGGGGACCGAGAGAATCTGGAGAATCTAAGGAAACAGCCCTTTTTAGTAAGCAATGTGGATCAAATTATAAAAATCACTTACTTTTACTGTTGAAAGCTTATGTTCAGTAAGTAAATCCTCAAAGCCAGGCCCAGCCAAGCCTGCTGCAGCCCTAGGCCAGAGTATCTCTGCACTGTGTTCCTGCCTCAGCCCTGCTGCAGGGGCAATGCTACAGACTCGCTCTTCACCAGTAAATCGTACTTCTGTCATACACATAATGAACATAACATTTATCCACACTACAGCCACAGATGTAACCCACATGGGTGAAATAAATATGTTTGCAGTGGTACGTAGCACACTCAAGCACTGCTGCATTTCTCATAGAGGGCCATATGTGCCAGGCTGTGCAAACAAAAGCTGTAGAGTTAAAGCTGCTGTTGCTGTAATAAGTACCCTCATAATTTTCCTTGCTGTTATAGACAAGAAAACCCAAAGTACTGGGCAATTACAGCTTGACAATCCTGACATGGTTTTCTCCCCACTTTATTTTAAATATATTTGCTTAATTTTAACAACCAGCAGTAAAATGTATATATTGCAAAAAGACTCACACTTCCATGACTAAGAGCACAAGAGTGTCATAGAGGATTATAAAAGCTGAACTTCATTTCTTAGCTTGGTGTGGTTGTCCTTATGCTTGATTTAAAGTTACATCAGTAAATCAGATATTAAGGAAAGCCAGCTGCTTCTGTTAAATAAACTCCTTTGTCTAAGACTTAAAGGGAGCAAAAAAGCCAGGTGGAGTTATTGATCTGTGAATCTCAGCTGGCTGGGCCTCACAGGCACTGCACTCCTGTTTCTTCTAATTGCCAGTGCCTTCAAGGAAACGCTGCCCAAGCCAATGGGCAGGAGACCTGATGGTCTGCTGGGGATTTTGTCTCCCCGAGTTGCAAACAGTTTATTACCAACAAAGCAAAGAATCTGTAAGAATTCACCAGTGAAACTTGAGCCCTATTGAGGACAATGGCAGAAATCCCACTGACTTGTGTTGCGGTGTATGTTATATCAGACGTGGTTTTACTGACACAATGCAGGAGGGATTTCTTTGTCTCGCTTCATCAATTTAACAATTTGAAGCTGTTCCACAGATTTGCTTACTGAATTGGATGCTACCTGATTTTTTTGCAATTTCCCTCATTGTCTCCAACATTAAGAAAACTGAAATTATACCTTCGAGTCTGCAAGGTAAATAAGACTCGTTATTACTCAAGGATTTACTATTCTGATTTGCAGTTTTAAAATTGATTGTTTTCTTGGTGAGGAATGTAATGATTATTCTTTTTCTCTGGTGTGTTTCATGCCCAACTGAAAAAACAAAGCAAAACTTGTGAAATTCATAGGAAAAATTATGCTGAATTTTACTTTGGGAGGGGGGACTTAAGTTTTTATTTTCTTTGAAGTGGTAGTTGTGTTGTGCTTTATATTGCTTTGTTTTGCTTGTCTGGGCCCTGTATGTTAATTTGTGTTGTGATAACTTTAAGTATAAGCAAGTTTTCTGGAATATGAAGTTTGGATATTAGTATGTATTTGGACTTGGGTGATTTGTTTGCAAATCACCTCGTTCTGGCATGTTTTTTTTAAAATACTCATTTGCAGTTGATCATAGCTTTTAAAAATTAAAATTATTGAATGTGTTTTAGGGCACCATCTTCTGGTAGGCAAAACGCATTGTATTTGAATGGTCACCTTTGCTAGGCACAACTATTTAAAGTATTTTTGACTAACACTACTCTGGAGGCTTACAGGTCATTTTTCATTCTAAATCCGCAATAAAACACTATTTAACATTTTTTACATTCTTCTTATTCATTGCAAATGCAGCTATTCACTGTGCTGCACAAATTTAACTTGGGACAGACCCTGTAAAATTCCAGTCATGACAGGCACTTTGTGAACGTGCTAGGTTAGACAGACAACATATGTCCAAGCACCATTTACGTATCTTATTTCTTTCATAGTTTCATCTTCCACTTCCCTTACTTATTTCAGATAATAAAATTTCTGGCCAAAGCAGTTTATTGGCTCATACTTTGGAGACTACACATGGCCTTAGTCATACTTCCTTGCAGTCACAGGACATAATCGCTATATATTCAAACACCATCAGTTAGCTTTATAGCAGCCACTACACTTGCATAAATACATAATTTAGTTGGCCAGCTCAGTCAGCAGTACACCCACATAGTACTTTTAAGGAGGTCTTAGGTTATATAGCTTCTTATTTCAGAGAAACAGAAATAACAAAAACAAACTTGTGACTCTACAGAGCTAAAATTTATCCTGATGTGATAAAAAGAAACTCCTGAAGACACTGCAAACTGTCATCCAGTGAAGAAATCAGATAGCATCAGTGCATTTAATAAAAAAACCAGAAGCACTGCATGAGTGTCATACTGCTATACACATGCCCCCCCGATTCTCTGCGTGTGAGAAGTATCAGACTTAACTGTATGCGCCTCTTTAGACCCATTCAAGAAACAAGGCAGGCTACGAGCACTGACCTCCTGACCTGCCAATACAAAACACTTCAGCTATGATGAGACGGATCATTTCAGAAGCAAGAGGACATTGGTTTGTTGAGAACACCAATTACATTTACATTTCATGGTATTTTTCCATATAAAATGGTATTCTAGAGATAACACTTGTTAACTGAAATTAATGAACAAATTTGCAAGACGTATACAGCTGTTCCATATGAAATTGAACTAATGAAGGCCCAGCCGCTGCGGGTCTCTATTCTGCATCCTTTGCATTCTTCAGCTTGTAACCTCCTCGCCAAATCCCCAATAATGCTGCAGTCCTGTCAGCCCCTTTGTCCCATGGAACTCTCCCACTCCTACAGGACGTACCCCAGTCCTCAGCTGCTATATACAGTACCTCCAGGTTCCTGCTGCTGTATTCACCTACATCCCCCAAGAGACCAGTCAGTGCTCTTCTGTCTCTGACACTCCTCCTCTACAACATCTTTAATTCTCTCCCAGGTCCACCTCTGTACTGCCTTCTCTCTGTCCCCTTTGTAATATCCACAGCTCCTAGCAGCTTCCTAAGCTTCTAGTTAGGTTCTCTTAGCCACCCTTTTTTCCCCAACATGCTTCTCCAGTTACCACGGGGTAGATGCCCAAAATGCAGCAAACTCCCATGTGGACTAGCATACAGACCCACCAGCAGGTAGGTGTGCGAGTACCACAGCTAAAAATGCTGAGTGCTCCCACAGAAGCACCTCTGTGCATCTGCCTCCCCTAATCTACAGCCACTTACTTGTAGAACTGCAGTAGCTTTGAGATCACTGGTGTAATAGCTTAATGTTTGCAAGTAGCTCCAAATGTTGCTGGAAAGCACTGGTAGAGCAATTCCCTAAGTATCTTTTCTTTAGGAAATCATACCAAAAATTTCTCATTTTTTCTCAGGAGTGAAGAAGTATGCTGATGAGAAGGACAAGATAATGACATGCATCTAAACAGCAATTTTCTTCTCTTAATATAAACAGGTATCAAGCTGTATCTAGGAGTACATTTATTTAGTTCATCCTATTCCTCCCTTAAAGAAAAATCAAGGCCTCCAAATCAAAGCATTGAAATGCTTCTCCTTCCTACTCCTTTGTCTGTAGGTGTATGTTCTCTATAATGATTCTGCTCAGACACTAGCCTAGAAATAATCTTAGGCAAGCAAAAACCAGATGACTGACTTAAGATGCACAAATACAGGTGGAGCAGTGAGTGGATTGAGAGCAGCCCTGCAGAGAAGGACTTGAGGGTAGTATTGGATGGAAAACTGACTGTGAGCCATCAGTGTGCACTCACAGCCCAGAAAGCCAACCGTGTCCTGGGCTGCACCAAGAGGGAGGGGATTCTTCCCCTCTACTCCGCTCCCATCAGACCCCCCCCTGCAGTGCTGTGCCCAGCTCTGGGGCACCAACAGAAGGAGATGGACCTGCTCGAGCTGGTCCAGAGGAGGCCACGAAGATGCTCAGGGGCTGGAGCAGCTCCCCTGTGAGGACAGGCTGAGAGAGTTGGGGGTGTTCAGCCTGGAGAAGAGAAGCTCCAGAGAGACCTTAGAGCGGCCTCCCAGTACTGAAAGGGGCTGCAGGAAAGGTGGGGAGGGA